CACTCCCCCCTCCGCCTTCTCACCTCATCTCCTCCTTCCCCCCCGGGACAAAACTTTGTTTCTTATTTTTTTTTTTAAATAATTATTTTTATTTACGTGTCCCGCATATTTGAATTGTTTTTAAAAAAAAAAAGTTTTTTCTTCTTCTTGACAAAAAAAAAAGACACGTGACCGAACTCTTCTACATAATTTTTTATTATTATTATTTTAATATTTTCCTGTCGTACTCGTCATAACCAATTTCATATCGCATATAATAATGATCACGTGATTCTTTTTACAACGACGACATCATTTAATTTTAACCGAATCCCATTACGTTCCATTAAATTATTCAATAATGTGTGTATATATATTTTACATAATTCCAATAATTCATTAAATTATTTAAATAAATAAATAATATTAATAGTTAGGTACAAGGGGGGGGAGGGGGAATTAAAAATTAAAATGGTAGAATAACCTTACGGGATGAATTCTCCTAGCAAATTACGAAAAAGTCTCAAAATGCAATGAATGTTACGACCACATTTTAACCTCGGTTATGTGGATGAAGGGAGTTTCAAGGGGTAGTTTTACTCGACCACAAATACACGCGGACAAAATTGCATCAATCAAACAACCGGATATCATCGCATAAGACAACAACTAATCCGGAAATACAAACCAAAAATTGACGAACGGGGAGTAAAATAATTCCGGTTATCGTGGGAGCTGTGAAAACATTTCCACGCAATTAACTAAAAAGAAATTTCACGGAAAATGGCGTCGTAAAAAACTTTTATTTTTAAATTCATTCCCAGAAAATCAAATAAAAATGAATTCGTCAATGTCATTAAAAGTCAAAATAATAATAATAATAATAAATAAATTAAAACAAAACTCGTTTGAGTGATCCTTAGGCGAAAGAAGAGAGTAGGATGCAGGAAAAAAGAAAAAACTAAAATGAAAAAAAAAAAAGGGAAAAATTTTCCTAATTACCGAGAAAAACGATAAGAGATAACAAACGAGAATAGTAATAATAATAATAATAATAATAAAAGTTTTGATTTCAGTCTATTTAATTTTTTAATTGTAAACGCTGCGCGGATAAAAAATAAAATAAATTTTCAACGATAAAAAAAAAAAAAAACAAAAATTATTATTATTATTATTATTATTTTCTGATTAAATTACGATTCGTCGTAAATTTTCTACCCTTTCACCGCATGCAAATGTAATTATTATAAATTATATTGTAAAACGTATTTTTAATAATAATAATAATATATATACGAGATGTATTTAAATAAATAAAATATTATTATTATTTTTATGCTTAAAAAAAAATTATCGAAAAATTATTCAAAAAAAAAAAAAAAATTAAATTTTTCCTTTTTTTTCCTTTCCTTTCTTTTCTTTCCTTTTTCTTTTCTTCAAAATTTAATATTTCTTTTATAAATAATAATAATAATATGGGCAAAAATTTAAATTTTATTATTACCGGATGAACATTAATTTTTTTTTTACACGAGTTTAAAAATTATTATTATTATTATTATTATTATCAGTGTTAAAACGATTCGTTAATAAATCATTATAAAAAATACTTTCTCTTTTATTATTAATAATAATAATAATAATAATAATTGAATATCGTACGAGAAAGGAAAATTCGTTCGTTTAAATGTTTCTCAACGATTGATTAACAGCAAAGGAAATTTTTTTTTTTTTTATGTTGAAATTTAATAAAAATACAATTTGAATATTTTAAATAAGAATAAAAAAAATTATTCGAATTTTTTTTTATGTATTTTAATTTACTTGTAGAATTTTAAATTATCCCCAACGAGTTTTTAAAAAAATTCATCATTATCATTATTATCATCGTGAATTTTTTTTTGCTTCGCTTTTCGTGTTTTGATTTAATTCTTTTATGTAAAAAAAAAAATTTTAATTTTAAAATAAGTTTCCAAATTAGTGACGACGATTATTTCAAACAAATTTTTTTTTTTAATTGACGACTAAACTCTTTGGTTGTTATGAAATCAATCATAAATGAATAGGTTTTGTATTTTACTAAATCTGAGATTGACTAAAATCTTCCAAAACATTTATCGTTGCCGTCTTATTTGTTCTAAGGTATTATCATAACTTTTTGTGGCAACCTATGAAAACTCGATACAATATTTCGTTACCCGCCAAAACTAAAACTAAAGAGAATGAAGACTTAATATTTTTTTTTTCGGATTAGTCGTTATCAAATCTACTTTATTAAAATCAATTGAATGTTGTTTGTCAAAATTTTTTAATTAGCTAATTAGTAAAAAGTCAAATATCAACCTTTAAGTCTCGTTTAATCACGAATTTAGTTAAAATTAGTTTATTGCTGCTGCTGCTGCTGCTGTACAACTGCCTGTTGTACGACTAACTCGCTAAAAACATCGATTTACAATTAAATATGTTTTCCTAATTCGTTTGTTATATTTTTAATAGAATTATAATAATAAAATAAATCGTGTTATAACATCGTCGTTTATTTATTGAATAATAAATTTAGATTTAAATACGAATCGCAAAACGATTATCACGTCGTGGGATCAGAACATAATTTTATAATTGGTAAAAATGACATCGTTACAATAATATATACACAACGTAATGTTTATTTTCTCTAAAATCCCGTATTATTATTATTATTAATTTCTTTTTTTGTTAATAAATCGTAAACGAGCATTCAAAATAAATATAATAATAATAAACGCACGATTTAAATAAAAATTATTAACGTGGGGGAAAAAAAATAACAATATCGGAATTAATCGTTTTTAAAAAAAAAAAAAAATTTAATTTATTAAAATACATTTTCGAAGGAAGTAAAATGTGTGATGATCGATCTATCGATCTATATATATGTACACATCAATCAATTTGCTAATTAAAATCACGAGAAATCTAAATAATGGTATAAAATTTCTAATTGAAATACATACACGCGCGCACACACACACGCACAAACACAAACAAACAGGCTGATGAATAATTAAAAAACCTTTTTTTTTTATTTTCAGAAATCGAAAAAGACTTTACCGATACGTTATAAAAACATGAGTGAAATCGGTTTATTAAAATTCATTAATTACATAAAGGAAACAAATTGAATATGGATCAATTATCCTAAGTAATTACTTATTGTTGTAATGAATGTACGTATGAGTGTATATAAATAGTAGAAATATAATAATAATGATGATGATGGGATTTTATATTTGTGTAAAAAAAAAAATGGGAGCAGAAGACGAAGAAGAGGCAGGAAAAAAAAGTTTGGAAAAGTAATAATAATCTTAATATTAACGATTTGTCTTTAAAAAACTTTTCTTTCTTATTTTTCCTTTGATCGTTTTTCTCAAAGGTTTTACATCGCGCAAACATTATTTTTCGATATTTTCGCGTGCACGTGTTAATTTTCGAAAAAATTGTTTTTTTTTTTATGTGACAATGTTACAAAATGGTAAAATTTAAAAAGGAAAAAAACAACAAGGAAAAAAAAAGGAAAATTTTTTGTGAGTTTTCAAAAACATTGTCGCCATTGATACGTTTATATACGATATGATGATGACGTAATTGATTTTGAAATATTTTCACTTTTCATTTATAAAATGTTAATTGTATTAAACTCTCGGTTAAAATTATTTAATTACGAGACAATTAATTAACGTATTTAACTTATTTGGGGATCGAAATAATCATAATCAATTTTTTTTTTTTTTTTTGAAGGGGGGGGGATTTCGCTGCCGATAAAAAAAATTATCCTTTTCCTCGAGTTTGTAAAACAAAGATTTTATCATTTAAATTATACGATATAAAAATTAATTTCAATTAAATTTAAAAAAAAAAAAACGGTTGAAAATTTTTATCGCGACCATTTTTCCTTCCTTCCTTCCTTTCCCAACATTCATCATTAAAGACCGACTCCCGCGTTTTTTTAAAAATTTAATTTAATATACTTTTTTTAATGCGAGGACACGATTAATTTTTTTTTTTTTTTGTGTCAGCCAGTTGCAACATAAAAAAAGAAAAAAAAAAGAAAAAAATTTTTTTTTTATTCCTTTTGACAAAAATTATTTTATATTCAAAAGATGGCTTCTACTTTACAGCCACGGATGTTGGTAATCCAAAAAAAACGTGTTTTCAGCATTAATTTACTCTTTGATATTTTCCGGAAACTTTTTTTTCTCATTTTCAACCATCATCAGTTTTTTTTATACGGCCCCCTCCCCCCTCTTTTTTTTTTTTTTTTTTTTTAAGCTTCCGTCTTCACTTTACATAAATTTTTTTTTTTTTTTTTTAGGCACAATAAAACCTTTTTGTATTTCAAAAAAAAAAAAAAAGGGAAAGAGAGAAAGAGAGAAAAAAAAATTTTTTTTTTCCCTTTGCTTTGTCGTTTTCCATACTATTAAATATTTTAATAAGCAATTTAAAGTTTTTAATGCCACGTTTTTTTTGTTTTACTCATTTGTTAATGTTCATTATTATTATTTTTGAAACAATTAAAATGGATTTTAATTCGAAAATTGTTCAGAAAAAAAAAAAAATGAAATGAAAAAAAAAAACTTACCCCCTTTAGGTACGTAGATATTCATGTATAAACAATCTTCGCTCTGATTGGTTAAAAGCGGTAGTAGCTTTTCCAAATATAAAAGTCTTCCTCTCGGAAGTTTCAACAAAGCATCCGTACGATTTCCTATTTCCGGTAAATTTTGCGGGCAAACCGGTGAAAAAGAATCTGCTAAACGCGTGCTTTTCCACATCGAAGGAGTGACCGGAGGCATGTACCTGAGTGAGCCCAGGGGTGGCGTCGCGTAAGGCACGCCCAAAAAAGCTTCGATGGGAGGCTGATTGAAATGCCTTTGTATTATTACGCCGCGAAGTGGACCGTATTTTGTAACGACAACTCGCGTACTGTATTTATGCACGACCGACCCCTGATCGGTTTTAATTTCGTCAAATGAAAACAACACAAAAATGAAGAAAAAAATTCTTCGTGACGTTACGGCTGCTCGAAGAAGGAAGAACAGCATGTCGCTCTGTCAAATCCACGGACGATGCCTTCTAGGGCCACGTCGATCAGACATCTCCGATTATCACTTGAACACTTATTACCCACTTTTTCCACTCCACAATCATCACTTATTGAACATTTTAACTATAACAAAAAAATTACATTAAATTTTTCTCATTATCGATTGTTTTTTTAAGGGGAGAGTAAGAAAGTGGGGGGAAGGAAATACTTACAAATTTCAGCCTCGATTTTCAAACAGATTACAAAATAACGGACACGACATAACTTATCTGAAACAATAAAAAAAAAATCCGAATTTTAACAATATTAAAAAAAAAAGACAATCAATATGCATAGAGTTATTATTATTATTATCAACGCCGAAACAAAATTTAATTTTTTAAAAAAAAAAAAAACAAAAAAATGATGAAAATACAAATCGACAAAATCCATTTTGAAAAAAAAAAAAAAATTTTTTTTTCGTCAAAAATGAAAACAAAAAAAATGCCTGTCGGTAACAAAAACAGAAAGCAAAAAAAAAAAAAGCGACGACAGCAACAACAACAAAAAAAGTTATTTTTCCCTCCTCCCTCCTTCCCATTCATTCTTCCTTCCTTTTTCATAACACATCCCCGCCCCCCACGGAAAAAAAAAGTGATCGTTAATTCACCTTTTTTTTTATGTTTGATCTCTCAACCATACAGTTTTTTTTTCTTTAAATTTAAAAAAAAAAAAAATGGAGGAAATGGGGGAGGGGGAAAGAGGAAAACCGGTTTAAAATTCGAATGTAATTTTTTATCTTTTTTGTAAAATGATCATTTAAATAATTGAAAAATATTATTATTATTATCATTATTAATTAGCATTTAATTTTTTTAATTTTTTATTTTAATCAAAAATTTTCCGACGGGAGGAAAATCAGATTTTTTAAAAATAATTAACTAATTAATATGACAAAGTCATTTTTATTAAGATTAGATTTTTAATAATAATAATAATAATAATAATAATAATAATAATGATAAAAAATTATTAATAATTTTTTTTATTTCCTGTCGGATTAAAAAAAAATGTTGGGGAAAAAAAATGTTTTTCCTTTTTTCCTTTCTTTCTTTTTCCTCAAAGAAAATTTTTTTTTTTTTTGTTTTTATTAATGATATGATTTTATTATTTATTTATTTTTTAAAATAAATTATTTAGAATCTTGTAATATTGTAATACAGATTTTATCATTTATATTTTTTTTATTTTTTTCCTTTTCAAAAAAAAATTTAAGTTGGCAACGCCGAATTTTCGAATTCAAACATGTATTTGCCGCCATTTTTAATCCATGTAAGTTTTTTTTTTGTTGTTTGTAATGTTTGTTCATTAAAATTATAATAAAATATATATATGTATAAACAATGTGAGAAAAAGTAAAAAAGAGAGATAGAAAGAGAGAAAATAATTAAAATAAAATAAAATAATAATAAAATAAAGTGAGAGAGAGAGAGAGAGAGAGAAAATGGGGGACATTATGCGTGAAAAGCTTTTTCGAAATTTTTTTTCTTTTGAATGTATTTCAAATGTTTGAATACGTTTTGTTTATTTAGAACTTAAGCAATTGATACCACATTAAAACTGTAAGTCTTCTTGACTCCAGTAAATTTTTCCCTGACTCCTCCACATTTACATCAGATTTCTCCAGAATTTCTTTAATCTTCTCCAGCAACTTCTTCAGAATTTCCCCTGCAGTTCTCCCTAATGTCTCCCGACTCTCCAGAATTTCTCTAGGAACTTCTCCGGAACTGATCTAAACCACTTCAGCGTTTCTTCAGACTTTTCAGAATTCTCCAGCGACTTCTCCAGGATTCTCCAGCTACAGCTCCAGACGTATCTAGAATTTCATCAAACTTCTTCAGCAACTTCTTTAGACTTCTTTAAAATTTTTTCAAGAACTCCTCTTGAATTGATCCAAACTACTCCAGTGTTTCTTCTGCAGTTCTCCAGATTTCCTCAGCAGTTATCCAGCAGTTCTTCAAACTTCTCCAAATTCATCCATAATTTCTCCAGTAAGTTCTCCAGCAGTTCTCCAGAATTTCTCCAGTAAGTTCTATTAAATTGATCCAGACTACTCCAGCGTTGTTGTAGAATTTCTCCAGAATTCTCCGGCAGTTCTCCAGAATTCTCCAGCAGTTTTCCAAAATTTCTCTAGTTGTTCTTCAGTTTTTCTCCAGATATGATACTAACATTATTGTCTGGTATTTTAAAAAAATATTTTATTCCTAATTTTCAGGTTTAAAGTAATTGAATTATTTTCATATCCGATAATTTAAACTTGAAATTTGTATAAAATTTCATAAAATCCCGTTAATTTGTACGCGTTTCTTTTAATACCCCTTCTTTATAATGGCTACAAAAAAAACGAAAAAGTTTACGATTATCTTAATGATCATTTAATTAATTATTTTTCTTTTTTTATGATTTAAATATCGATCGACTGATTGATTACTAATTAATCGACTCGATAAAACTCGAATGAATGAATGAATAAAAATAAAATTCTAAGAGAAATCACCAAAAAAAAAGAAAAAACATCTGAGCCGAATATTTTTTTATTTTAAAAAAACAAAAATTTTATTGTACTCATAGCAGCAGCAACAGCAGTAGAAAAAAACAACAACAACAGTAACAACAGGAGTAAAATACCTGTTCTTAAATATTGTCTCGAAAAAAAAAGAAATCTCGCAATCTTACAAGTTATTTATTTATTTATTTACTGTTTTTATTTTCTTTCCTTTTTTTTCTTTCCTTTTTTTACTTTTCTTTTTTTTTGTTCTTACTGTCAAAGCCTAAATTAAAGGGCATATGGCGTAACAATTGAAATGGCGTGAATCGGAAAATTTTTACGGTAAACGAATTTTTTTTTTTTCTCTCTTATTGTTCGAATCTCAGCAATGTTCACAACTCGACAAAATTCGACCTCTTATCCCCCTTCCCTTGCCCCTCTCTTCCCTCTCCCCAAGAAAATTTTCTTCTTTTTTTTTTTTTCTTTTTCTCATATCTATGCCCTACCAGAAAAAAAATTTGTTCAACTAGAGAAAATAAATTGTCTGTAAAAGGTCACATTGGCGTCAACTGCTTGGGAGAACAAGAAGAATAAAAAATCCGGAAATAAAAAAAAGAAAAAGAAAAAATAAAAAAAAGAATTTTTTTATTTCGAAATTTTTAAATTAATCAATAAAACCGAATTTTAAAAAATAATAATAATAAAATT